CATCAGAAAGGTGCTTCTCACTGTGGAAGTTTACAAAACCATCAAACTTCAGAAAATAGTTTGTAAAATTGAATATTAGAATATTTTAATGGTGATTACTAACCTGTCTACTGTCAAATGGGGATGCTTTATGCAAAGTAGCAAAAACTCGTAAGGCACATCTTTGAAAATTTCACTAGTCATGGCCCACATCTGCAGGAAATTAACAATAGAGCATTAGATTTTATCATGGTCTGAAAATAATGCATCACGAAAATCAAAATGCACAGAAAGCTAATGCAGTACAAGCCTCACCATGAAAAATGATATGACAAATTGAAGACTTTATCATGATGAGACAATCACTATCAACCTTGCGATATGCACTAGAACCTAGGTTATAACTTATAACCCCAAAGAAGGGAGCAAGGTGAGTTAAACTAATAGTAATAGTAACAATAAATAAGTCTACAAGAGAGACAAAGATCATATATTAAGAATAACCAAGAACAATAGCTCATCAGCTTCTATAACAGTCCGAAACAAATACATCACAAAACCAAAATGCATTGCCAAGCTGATGCAATACAAGCCTCTCCTTGAAAATGATATGACAAAGGACTTCATCGGGATAAGACAGCCACTTTCAACCTTGCAATATGCATGAGAACGTAGTTTATAACCCAAAGAAAGGAACCGAGTTGTGTTAAAAAATAGTAAGAACCCTAAGAGACACAACTACCAAATGACGAATCAATCACAGGAATGTCCTAAATCTTGATCTAAGCAGACATGTTTAAGTTAATCCTTGGTAAACATGCCTATCTCACCACTGCAATGTCCTTGCTGTCCAAATGCTAAGCTTAAGAAGCTAATGCAACCTTCCTTTTTCCATATATGTGCTCAGGTGATAAGTTATGAAATGAGTGGAACTTTTTTTTTTCCTAGTTACTTGGATCCTCAGAAAACTTAAGGAATGACTAATCCCAGCCTGATAATTACTAGAGGAGACAACAACACACCACTTGTAAAGTATATAATGGAATGTATATATGAAAATTTCAAATGAGGTGTGACTCATTGATCAAAGAATTGTTCAATAAGAAACTTGTAATAAGGTTGCAAGCTGACGTTACTGGTGAACTCTCAAAAGCTGAATGAGAGTTTAGCACGTACGAAATTTATTGCTAGGTAGCTTGCACATGTTTCTTGAACAAAACCATTATCTGCAACATTTTCAAAATGTCTATTAGTGCGGATGTCACTCTAACAAAATATGCATCTTTATTCATTTCTGATCATCTTGAAATACACAGTATGTCCTTACCATGTTCTAAGCCAAAATTCCATATATGGATCAGATCATCCAATTGAATCCTTGGACAAGGACACCTCAGAAAGCCAATATTTCAACTGAATGAGAAGCACATCCACTCCAAAATAAAGTGCAGCCTGGTGGTGCAGAAATTTAAATACAGACAACTAGGTTTTAGAAAGTAATATAATAGAGTGAGTTCATACTCCAAAGTTACAGCCACGTGGTTCGTCTTAATTGGGTCAAAGGGGAAATTATGCCACCAACTATGGTTAGATATTGATATTTGTCACTGTAATTTACTTTGATAAATATTTATCATTGTACTTTTGTGATTAAGGGTAAGTACGATAAAGAAAAAAATAACTAGTCACAAAATTCAGTCAAATAAAAAAGAGAGTGATAAATTTAGACAATGGCAACTATCAATCCAAATAAAATATTATAGAAAATTTTAATATCCACCTATAAGCAGCTACTTCGCTCACTAACCAATCTTTATTTCAGGCATAAAAAGAAGAACTAGCAGAAATGTGTGAAGCAGCCAAATGTTTACCTGGAAAAGTGGGATGAAATTATTAGAAGTGATGTCTAAACGGAAGCCAAAGATGCATCTAACAACATTAAAAAACGTTTCCAATTGCCACTGGATTGAAACATAGTCCAAGCACGACTCACTGCACCGAGTTTTTCAAAAATTCAAAATTCGTAACATTTAACAAAGTGAAGGTCATTAAGCATTACTTCCATTACTCAATCAAAAACTTTTTTTCCAGCTAAATAAACTTAGCAAATCATATTTCAGAGGATTAATCAAGAATTATATTAATTATTACTAGCTTAATAACTAAAATTTTCGTTCTAAAGTTAACAAACCTGAAGCTTCCCCTGAGGAGACCACGGAAGTACGAAGATTCTTCCATAAGACTACAAGAAGTCGAAGTTAAGCATCGGAATGAACAGTAAATTCTTCAATAAGCCTAAAATGAATGAAACGATTGAAAATTTCAAAAATCGATTTACCTATTTCGATGAGCTTGGATTTTGAAAGTTCGGCGAGAGAGAATGGAAGGGAAATCCCAAGTGGAGAAATCCGCCGTGGAAATAACGATTTCTTCATCGGAGATATCAGCTTCGATGTGGTCATCTGGATCGGAGCATATGAGAATAACGAACTCGTTGTCATCGGAACTTGACGCCATTAAAGGTAAGCAAGTGAGCCTTCAACTGTACTAATGATATCATAAGCTAAAGCTCGGTGGAGATAAACGACTGGAAAAATATTTTGTTTTATACACTTTTCTTACCTATTATTAGAGTAAATTTATAATTTGATGGGATTAAAATTCAATTGATTTTGATTTAATTGCAATAGGATCAATTTTTTTAAAAAATAATAGATTTAGATAAAGTTTAAATTTGAAATGAGAATTTTTAATTTGATTCGAGATAATAATATTTATAATAATATTTTTTTATATTTTTTCAGTTAGGTAACTATTTTATAAGATAAAAAATTATATATATATATATATATATATATATGTGTGTGTGTCAGATTGAATTTAAAATTTTACTTTAAAAATCAGGTTAAATGGAGGAGTGTTTTAAAACTCGGATGGAAGAAAGGTGACAAGTGGAGGGTATAATATTCAAATTGGATTCGAATAAAATTAAAAGGTTTAATATCAAAATAAATGTTTAAATATATATTTTTCTCGAATAAGTGCTTAAACTATTTTTTCGACTCATTCAAGTGTCTAACGTTATAAACGTTACTACTTTATGTATATATGACGTTACAAACATTATCACTTTAGATATATCGATTCTAACGACCATTAAAAAACTCGTTAAATAACACATGTCACAAATTTATTTTTTTAAAACTATTATATATAAAAAAAACCTTTCCCCTACTCCTCTCCCTTCCCTCGTGCTCCCCTTTTCCCTACTTTTCTCCGTTAATTTCCGTGGCCAAAGGTCAAACATCTAATTAGTTAACCAAATGATCAGTTTCCACAGCCAGTTAAACGATAGATTATAATGATAATTTAAAAGGTTGAGTATTTGAGATTTTGGGGATTAGAGATTAAAATTAAAAAGGATTTGAGATGATATTAAGAGTTGTAATCGGTGGATGGTCGGCGTCATATGGGTGGCACGTCGCTGGCAAATGGGTGATCAGATATGACCGACGGTTAGAGTAAATGAAACTAAAATAAGAGATTTTAAGAATTTGGATTTTTTTATGTATTTTAGAAAAAAACATTGGGGTTTTCACAAAAATAAAATATTTTTAAGTTTTTTAAAAATAATTTTTTAAAATTATCATATTGTAACATGTGTCATTTAATTGACTTTTTGAACAACCGGTAGAACCGAGACGCCTAAAGTGTTAACGTTTGTAACGTCAGACACCTAAAGTGGTAACATTTATCACATTAGAAAATTGGATAAGTCAAAAAATTATTTAAACACATATTTAAGGAAAATAATATAATTTGAACACTTATTTTAATATTAATTCAAACTAAAAATCCAACCTGGGCAACCCAACTTATACTCATCCTTAATTTTGATTATTAAATTTAATTTTACAATTCAATTTTATATTTAACTTTTTATCTAATTAAATATTTAAACTTATTTTTAAGAGTAGGTCATAAAAGTTTAATTACTCTACATTTGATTAAAAACCCATACTCCTTGACATGAAAAATTCATATCCTTGACATAAATTTTACACCTATCCCTAATTTTTTATTTAAAAAACAATGTCATGTCAAAAACAAACGTGACATGAATTAGTGTTTTGAAGGGGCCACGCCCATGAAGCCTACTGAATACTGGTAAATATTACATTGTACCACGTAATAGACAAAAATTCTAAAGTAAACTACATAATCAACACTTAAACTATTAATTTTAATATATTTTAGTAGTTAAATCTTTAATATTTTTAAAACTTATTGTTAAACTTTGAATGAAAATTAAAGTTTTTAATGACAAGATACTACAATAAAACAAAAACTAAACTTTAAGTATGATTCTGAAATAATTGAAAGTTTAAGTACTAAAACGGACCAAAACTGATAGTTTAAGTATTAAAAATATAATTTACTCAATTCTAAAATAATAGAGTTAATTGCATCATACATCCTCAATCAATGAGCCTCATTTTAAATTAATTCCTAAACTTTTAAACAATTCAATTCTATCCTTAAACTAAGACTATAATTCTAAATTAATCTTCAAACTTTTAAACATTTCATTTTTACCCCCAAACTATGATCTTCATTCTAAATTAATCCACAAACATTTTGAATATTTCAATTTTATCCTAAATTATACGTATACACTAATCACTCTTGTTAATAAAATCATTGTGCCAAGTTATATTATTATATATTTGAAAAAATAAAATTAATTTAAACTATTGTTGAAATGTATTAAATATTTAAATGAATTTAGAGATGAACTGGAAGACCTAAAAGTTTAGGGATCCGTTTAGAATGAGATTCATAATGTAGGAATGAAATTATGATTTTCAAAAATATTAAAGATTAATTTAGAACATAAATCCGACCCGATATAAAATAAAGACTTAACTAAATAATAATAAATTTTAAATAAATTACAATATTATCCGGGTGGGGTCGGGGCGGAGTTTTTTCACCCTCCACCCGAACCGACCTCACTCTCTTAAAAAATCCAATCCGACCCGACTCAAATCCGAATTTAAAAAAAAAATCTGATCACATCGAAACCCATCAAATTCGGGTTAAATTGCCGTCCCTATTCCTTGTGTTGTCATTTGGTACATGTTGATTCTTATAGAATTTTCTTCTGATAAGCGTATAAACTTAAAGATGTTCCAACTTTAAAGCAGAAATTTTCAATATGAGCAACTATTACTGTTTTCGGCAACATTTTAGTAGAGAATTGGTTGGCCAACAACCGGGATTTTGGTATGGAATTCACTGTAGACCTTCGACAGATTGAGAGCTTGATGGAGACTGGAAGCATGAAAAGAAACCGGATATTAGCTTCCGATCACTTACCGAAAGCTAAGATTTTAGACACGGAGAAAGAGATTCAGGGCCTATCAAACCTTTTACTTCTATGAATCATCAAATCCCCAACAACCAGAATCGACAAGATGCAGAGCGATCAAGAGAGCTGGTGAGGAGCTATGTGACGAAAAACGCAAAACTTTTAGCGGATAGAATCGACAGAAGAACAAAGAACACACAAGTCTCTTAACAAATGTGATAATAAACATGGCAAGAATGTTGCCTCACCGGTTAGACCAAGAAAGCTGGTACTGCTTAAGCATTCAAGTTATTCATTCCATCGGTAAGATTCTTGATACCTAAAATCTTAAATTGTACACGCTTTCAAGTAACAGTAAGATCAATAATCAATGTAGAATATGCAATGCACTATCTGCAACAAGGTAATATGACACTTTGAACTACATTGGCAAGAACTTGACGAATTATTTCTCATTAATCGGTTATCAGTATTGGTTGTCGGAAAGCTAAAGTAAAGTGAAACTCTAAAGCAATAATAATATTGTGGTAAAGATCTAAATGCAATGTCTTAAAAAACCAGTACAATTGAAATTGAAAACGAAATGAAATCAATGTGGTAAAGATTTTGTCTTTGACAGGTAAAGATCTAAATGCGATGTGGATGTAGTAAAGAATAGCAGATCAAAAAGAAAACCTGAATCTAGTGTACCTGGATGAACTATTGATTTGAAATTTGAGGGGAAAATTTGGGTTTAGGAGGGAAGCAGAGTGAAACATTTGAAGCACAAAGGCACAATATGGTGTGAACAGACCACCATTGTCGCCATATGATAACTCTATAAACCCATTGAGCTCGATGTCAATTAGTAGCAAGAAAAGAAACCGGGAATTTGATTCCGAAGACTTATCAAAAGCTAAAAGAAAAGGCACAAAGAAGCAGCATGGGCACCGAGAACCTTTTATACCAGTGAATCAACTTCTAGCAACAACCAAAACTGAAAAGGAAAAAAGAGCGTTATGTTCTTTACCATACGTATACAAAAGGGTAAAACATCCCAAATTGATTAGCAAGGCTTGGACTGTGCTTTTTAGAGCAAGGAATTTCTGGACTACCCGTTACTTTGTAGGTAAAAACTGTTCTAACAGTTCCCTTTTAGTTTGAGAAACGGTATCTCATAGGGAATGATAATATTTCAATCATTTGCAAGTTGATGCGAGATTGTTTACTCGACTAGGACTAGGTACAAATCCAGAAAAACTGCCAACATATGACATCATTATTGGCACAAGGATTTTCGTATTGTACCTGTTATAAGCTATGGAAGGTCAAGACTACATCTGCAAACGAGCCAAGTCAAGTTTGAGTATTGATAAACTCCGCTCGACTCAAAAACTTTAAAAGTAAGCTCGATTCGACTCAAAAACTCGCGAGCTTAAAATTATCAAGCGAAATAAAAAATTGAAGCTTTACTCAAAAGCTCGTGAGCTTAAAATTTTCAATCTCCATTCGAAATGAAAAATTGAAACTCAACTCGAACCCAAACCTTAAGTACATAAAAGCCTAATATTGTATTTTTTAGAAAAATAACATAAAATGTTAATATTATTAATAATTTAATTTAAAAAAATCTAAAATTTTAATATATATTTTTTTTCAAATAGCTCGCGATCTTCTCGTCTCATTTACAGCCATATTCAAGACAGTTCTCAAGGGGGGGTTTTTCACCGAGAGAATGACATCCTATAAGGCAAGTACAACCCTTTATTCTTGCTAATCAAAGTGATGCATTTACCTTCAAGATATATTCACACATATATAACAAAATAATGTGAATTGAACATGAAGTAGAAAGTTCAATTGAGAGAGTCACCTTATTTATCATTCTGTTAACTCGATCCCTCTGTATCTGCCACATAATTCTCACTAACCTTCTATGAGCTTGCGGTAAAAAAATGTTATTTGTGCCTTTTCATTTAGCTTCTAACTAGTTCCCGGAAACTAATTCACTGCTTCTTTTCTGTTTAAGGTGCATACTAAACTCCCAACAGTTGCCAACATAACGATCTATGTTCTTCCAAAAATAAGAAAAAACTGTCATCGTTGCTCATCTAGTACGGATCTGGGAAATATAACTCAGATCAGATGAAATCATTGAACAACCAAAAACACCAACGGTTTTCCCCAATTCAGAAAGCAAATCAACGACACTGACATGCTCTTTCTTACAACGGATATGAAATTATAAACTAACAAGCGAAAAGAAACGAAATTCCCACAAGCAATCAAAGGAAATTCAGGACAATCAAAGCAAAACATCTGTGAGAAAGCGGTGAAAATGAAATTGGTAAAATTAGCAGTACTTACTGGTTCGTTGTGACTACAACTGTGAAGAGAAGAGGAGAGCGGCTGTCCTTTCTTTGGTAGGGTTTCACTACAGGAATGAAAGCCTCGACGAACGAGAGACATACATATTAGGGCAAAAGTTTATGGATAAACTACGCATCTGATCACTTAACTTTGACCTTATTCATGTTTTGATCACTGGAGATTGACATTTTATCACTCCATCATTATCTCTATAACGACATGATGACATAACTTATTTTATAAATATTTCAATCACATAATTAATTAGCAATTTTTATACCACTATCACCTTCACATCTCGCACCATTCTTAAATATCTGAGAACCACCATCCCAAATCTAAAAGACGTTGAATGTTATAAGAATGCAAAAAAAATTTAAATACGATTATGATACAAAAAAAATATTAAATACCATCTGATACAAACCATACAATTAACAAGTTAAGGTACAAAATCAAAGTTTATACAAATATAAAACATCTCGAATAAGATAATAACACAATATAATTCATAAAATACATGCACACAACAAGCATTAACGAGTTCAAATACGAAAACCATACAATTTAGATAGAGAAAAGTACGAGTTCAGCCAAATTGAAGCTCATATGGTGATTTTCAGAACACCCTTTGATTCACAACGAGATCAGCCACGTATTACAGGATCATTAGTTGTAGTAGTTTCTTTCACATCATCCATGGAATCAATGCAGCAAGCTAACACAACGAAGTAAGAAACAAGTCATAATTTTATAGTAGCCTTACCTTTAAAAACATAGAATATTTTTGACTTTAATACTTATGGAGTCTACACTTATATATATACAAGATATATATACGGATAACATACTGTTGTTCTTAAAGTCTCCACGCTGAAATCCTGAAAGTTAAAAGAGAAATATAAATAAATGATCGAGTAGGGATGCAAAGAAGTGCAAGTCTAAGAATTGACTTAAAGGAGAGGCACGAATGATATGTATGGAGAGCATATTAATCAAGATAGCATCTTCATGTTTATAACTTCAAACATGCATGCATTCATGTATGCATGTCATGATTATAAAGATTCAACAATATGTACAGTTTTCAATGCAAAAGTCCATGCAGAAAAAAAGCAGGGGAGCCTTAAACATTAGGTTTTATGGTCTGATCAGGCAGAAAACCCAAGTTGTTTCAACTCTTCAGTTTGCTTGAATTGTCCATGGTTGACATATATTCAGTCATAGGAAACAATAATGATTATCCCAGGTTCACTAAATTCATTTTTCTTATTAAAAAAAGAAAGAAAGAAAGAAAACTTAGAAAAAACTGTAACATACCCATTTTAGGCATGAACCCATATCCGACAATTAAATCCAAACCCAAGAAACATGGCTGAAAATGACATTTTTCTAGGTCTAAAAACAAGTCTAGTGGATGGGGGAAGACATTATAATTATACAGTGATGTATAATGAGTAATGTATCGACAGGTATTCAGATAGGACAATCCAAAATTCCTCTAAATACACGAAAAATCTAGAAAATTTTGAACATACATATGTCTGGTATGAGTCTGTGTTTGACACTCCCACTCAAGTAAAATAGCTAAATATAGATTTTTCCGGGCCTAGAAACAAGTCTAGCTCATGGGAAAGACAATATAATTATAACATGATTTATAAATGAGAAATATCAAGAAAAATTAATACTGTCTGTTAATGTCGTTAATAAAAATATGCATACCATGTTATTAAGGAACATTGCCTCAAGCTTCTGGACTGGATTCTCCACTTCTTTCAAGTCCTGAAAAACCAAGTTAGAAAGTTAAATTATTGATGTAGATCATGAAATCAAACTTAGAAGTTAGATCTGTAAATGTTAGGATACCTCTTCTCGTTTTTTATCTAACTTTTTCATCTCCACTTCCACTTTGACCAACTCCAGCTTCGCTTCAGCTTTTGTTAAACCGCATTTCTTGGACTCATCCTCGATTTTTTTTATATTTTGCTCGATGACTTGGATATCAGATCGAACTGGGATATCAGATCGCATTGGCCATTCTGTTTTGATTTGCTTGAGTGATCCGAGAACTTGTGGTAAGAGATGGCACGAATTTGAGTCCATCATCAGCTTAACTATGAATAAGATACTTTCCATGTCTGCAATCTTGTCCTTCATACCACAAAACATACACACAAAACATGTATTAAGAAACAACAGGACATTGTCATTTTCCTTCATATCATCAAATGTACACACAAAATAAGTATTAAGAAACAATATAGGGACATTCAGAGGGCAGGAAAACCCGAATTCATTCGGTTTTCCTTTGAGAAAAAGGCACCTTATAAGGAAAGGATAACCTTTGTTTTACTTGCCGAGGATACAAATCCAGAGCAAATTCCTACAAATTGAAACATTTTTTATGCAAGGATATGTGATTAACCCTTGCTTTATAAAGCAGAGTCCGATCCTTTCTAATTCTCATGTATAATAAATAACAGTAATGTGAATTGAATACGAAGCACAAAGTTTAGGTGAGAGACTTTACATTGATTATCTTTCTGGCGAGTCGATCTGTTAAAATTTTCTCGCTCTCCGCCACAGATTTCCCGTCTATAAGCTCTTCGAAATTCTTTGCTTCCCTTGTCGGTTTTGACCGTTTCCTAGAAGATGATGATTCCCCGGGTCCCCGGCGCCTGCACCGTTTCATCGTGCCTTTTCCTTTAGCTTCCGCTGAGTTAGCAGAAACTAATTCTCGGCTTCCACTCAAGATCGGACTCGACGAGTTCACCAGGTTATCATCGTGAAACGATGGTGACCCGTTCACGGCATTCGTTGCTTCGAATTTCTCATTCTCAAGCAATTGAAGGGCTCTTGTAAGTCCCGTATGAGAATCGCAATCGTTACTGGAAAGGCAAGTGAAGAACTGCTGCCAAAAACTGCCATCGCTGCTCATCTTGGACGGATCTGTAAATTTAACACATAAAACAATCAAAAACCTTAACTATTTCTCCATATTCGGAACAAAATAGAAAGAAATCAAGAATCAAGCAAATCAAAGACCTCGAAATGATAAACTAACAAAGAGGAAAACGATACGAAATGGAAAGAAAATTCCTCAAATAAATCATGCAAGATCCAAAGCAAGATAATGATAAACAAATGAGTAAATTCAGTAGAAAAACTTACTGTTTTGAACTTTTGATGTAGTGAAGATAAGAGAAGAGGCGGAGTTTTAAATAAAAGGTGAAGCTCCGTTGGAGAAATCGCGTGATTTCAAGTTGGCGTTAGTAAGAAGCGGACTCTTCACTCGCGTGATTTCAAGTTGGCGTTAGTAAGAAGCGGACTCTTCACTCGATGGCGCCATTAGCAGCTAAAAGCCGCGCGAGCGAACGCGGTTGAATCAAATACATAACCGGACCGCCATGGCTTCTTTTCTTCTTCATATCAACCAAAGTCAATAATGGCGGGCAAAATATAAAAGTTTTTATTTTTTTAAATAAAAAATATTTATTATTAGGGTAAATTATAAAAATAGTCCCCAAAATGTTATGAATTTTTATATTTGGATTACCCAACTTTTGAAAATTTCAATACAGTCATCAAATATTTAGTTCATTTTCACTACGGTCCCTACCGTCACCTCCCGTTAACCGTTAATGTTTGCTCACATGGCATTTAACTTCCGTTAACCCCCTTCTCCTTCTCCTTCTTCTCCTATTCCTAAAATCCCAACTCTCCAAATGAGCGAAGAAACTCTCCTCGACTCGTGGACAACAATCTTTATCATTTCTGCTTATTTTCGGACAATGTCCTTGCTTCCTCAGTTGTCGCCAATTCGACTATTTCCAATGCTGATCATTCTAAACAGATGGTTTTCCACATTGCCACTAATGGGGTCGCCTATGGAGCTATGCAAGCTTGGTTCCTTGGTAATGACTTCAAGGGGGTCATGGAAGAGGTGTAAAACATCGAGGAGTTTTCTTGGTTGAATGTTTCTTATGCTCCCATCGTGAAGCAGTTACTTGATGTATATTGCCTTATTGAATCACCTTCGGTTTTACATACCATAGATCTATTCACAACTTGAGAAGATAGTATTCCTTGATGATGATGTTGTTGTGAAGAAGGATCTAACGCCGCTTTTCTCTTTGGATTTGCATGGGAATATAAACGGGGCGGTGGAGACTTGCCTCGAAGCATATCATCGTTATTACAAGTATCTGAATTTCTCGAATCCGATCATTAGCTCGAAATTTGATCTGCAAGCATGTGGATGGGCATTTAGCATGAATGTTTTCGATCTAGTTGCCTGAAGGAAAGCGAATGTCACTGCGAGATACCATTACTGGCAGGAGCAAAACGCTAATAAGACACTCTAGAAACTCGGAACTCTTCCTGTCGGTCTTTTAGCTTTTTATGGCCTGACAGAACCACTCGATCGGAGATGGCATGTGTTAGGATTAGGTTACGATCCTAACAGCGACAACCGCCTGATCAAGAGCGCAGCAGTCATTCACTTCAACGGGAACCTTGAAGCCATGGCTAAAACTGGCCATCGGAAGGTATAAGCCTCTATGAGAAAGGTACATAAACCTTAGCCACCCATATATCCAAGGTTGTTCCACAAGTTAGAAAAAAAGAAAACCGTGCTCGTTTTTGGTTCCGATCGCTTGTAGTTTATGCGACCTCTGACGATATGAACCTATTGAAAGGCCAATCGCCGCAAGGGCGGTCGCGGGATTTTTTTAACATTGTTAGAAGATTTGACATATCTTTTTTATTGTTCATCATAGTATGCTGAAAGGATAAAAGGAATGGTTTTCTTATGCATCAGAAAGAAGTCTGAAAGGTGAAAGATTTGTGGGAACATTCATTTTTGGTTGATGGGGTTTTGTTTAATCCCATCAGAAATAAATCGGATTATTCTCCGGCCTGAAGTTTCTTGATCTTGGTGAAAATGTTGGTTGGCTGATGGATCTGAGTAGTGTTTGGAGAGTTGGCATTTTAGAAGAAAAATTGATTTTATCTATTATTGTAATTTTTAAAAAAAGTTTGAAGAAAAATAATTTATTTTAATTCAAAGTTCTTTTTATAAATTGTTTTGCGCTTATTTATTTCAATGAAAACGGCCAAGTTGTTGCATCAAACCATCACACCCTACAAGTTCAACACCATCATAACTTGGCCGTATATTAACACCCAAAAACATCATTATTTCAATCCAAAACATTATTGAGCGATTTATCGAGTTTAATAATATATTCGATAAAATACTATTTAAAATATTATTTTTTACTGGATATATTACCAAACCCGGTAAAGCGTCCAATAATATCATTTTCGGTAAAAATAATAATGTTTATGATAATTTTTTATCAATTTTGTTAAAAAATAATAACAAAACTGATAACGTCTTTCTTTAACCGTATATTAGGTTGTCGCACGTGAGACTTCCCCTAACTCAATAAATCATCTCAAACCACCGAAGCTAACCTGCCCGATCAATCAATTTAAATGCACCAATCAATACACATATTCATATTGACACAATCACTTCTTTCAATTGTATGACTACTCAATTTAATTATAACTATCTCCTTTACACTATCAATAATATAATTAACTGAGTTACTGACAGTTAACTAAAGTCCAATTCAGATAAAAACCAAACAGAACCTTCGTTTTATCGCTCAATTTCAACAACTTCCTCAAGATCCAACTGAAGTGAGGTTTGCATTCCACCTGTCAGTGATCAACTTCCTTCAACACAAACTCTTAAACCCAAGCCACCCAAAAGGATCCCTTATCGGTAAGGATATTCCTCACTAACAACAAGTGATACACCTTATTCCAACAGAACATGCTTTTTAACATCAGACCCCCTCAGATTTCAAAGAACAGACCTGAGTCCAGCTCACCCGAATCCTTTTTTATAGAAACCTTTCAGAAAAACCTCATACAAAGCCTCTCAATTTACAGTCACAAACTTAGGCAAGATGTACTGCCTACTTCAATAATTAAAAGCACTAAACAACACAGTTTTTATTAATTGTAATCGACCCCCATAACTTAGCTTCCTATTAGACCACTTGCATAGCTTTCTTCTAATCTTCTCGACTCTCTTAAACTTGAATTCAAAGTTGTGAGTGACATGAGTTTAAATCAAAATACTAAAGTCCATTAATAATATCTTTAGCATTTTATTGAGTTAATCGATTAAGATCGTGACTAATGGTGAATTGATGATAAAATTTTAGTAAAAATTTTTACTAATAAAAAGAAAATTGATACAAACAATTTTTATTGGTTCAACTTTTTCATCTACTATCTTAGTTATTAGTTTAGGATGTGTATTTTAACCATTAATTCAACGAGTTCAAATTCGACCTACCCCTATGAGTTTTTTTTTTTTTTTTTGAAAATTTGAATTTGGGTTGGGTCATATTCATTTTAGGATAAAAACATTTGATCGATCTAAATCAAGGTAATAATATAATTATCTCTTAAATATTTAAGGATAATTATAATAATATACATATATTTATATATTTTTCAATTAAGTTTATTTTTATTATTATATATATATATATAAAGTCTAGTTAGATTAAATACACTTGTATAAGTTCTTATCTAAAAAATCAAATAAATATTAGATTTTATGCAGTCTACTCAAACTTGGGTGAGTATATGGACCAAAATTTTGATCAAAATCCATGCCATTTCTATCCACACTAAATTTCTTTTCCACTGATTCGATCAACCTTCAAGTTAACAAATCTCCGCTTCAATAAACGGCCCGAACCATTTCTTGGACCGGGGAAAAAGACCACAGACTTTTGGCTCTATCAAAGAAAACATAGAAAAAAATAAAGGTTTAATGTCTAAATAAGTGCCCAAACCATTCATTTTATGTCAAATATGTGTCTACGTTATTTTTTTGGCCAATTCAGGCGCTTAACGTTACAAATGTTACCCTTTTAGGTGCTCGAGTTTATTCGACGACAAAGGACAGAGGTTGGCGTGGGTTTAAGAGTTAAAATGAAGGTTTTCAAAGTTTAGTAGTTATTTCAAAATTTATGTGTTCTCTTTATTAAAAATATATAATTTTATTTTTAAAAATTGTATATTAAATTTTTAAAATTATCGGGTTGGGACATGTGTCACTTAACGGGGAAAACTAACGTGTTAATGGCTCGGGTACCTAAAGGGTTAATATTTGTAACGTTAGACACCTTGATAGACCCAAAAAATAACGTAGGCACCTATCCGGAATAAAAGTTATAGTTTAGGCACTTATTTAGGCATTAAGCCAAAAAGAAAAAAGTGTTTAAGAATTGAGAAGACTATAAATTCGCACCCGGTTAAACCTTGGAAAGTATTCGTAAATCTCATAAACACGATTTTAATGGCGCTTTTACGTAAAAATCACCCAACCATTAAATAATTACTTTACATGCACATATTGTCCTAATTTTACCAATTTAACACCTTTTGTGACAGCATGGCAAAAAGGCACGGATGGTAGGTTCATCCGAACTGAAGCTACGTAGGGGTAAAGCGCGGATCACTATCCACGCCTTTATGGGATTCTAACACGCAACGAAGGTGCGGATCACCATCCACGTCTTCTAAAATTACCCTCAACCGACCGTTTAATTACCTTGTCCCCTTCCCCTATAAATACCTCATCATGCAACCCTCAAATCATACAAAAACGAAAATAGTCTTTCTTATCACTCATTATAACAAAGCTCAAGTAGATTATGTTATTATTCTTGGAAGTTAAAATTATTATTATATTATAATCATTAATTAGTTAATTATTTTATTATATTTTACTGCCTAATTTTTTTTTATGTTTTGCAGTTATAAAATGGAATGTAGATTGATGCGTTTAGATGAGAATCATATCGCAAGTCATTTTACCGATACGACAACAATTTATTTAATTTGTATTAGTTTTATTATTTTGTTATATTAATTATTGCGAATATTTTATTTATTTATTTTTTAATATTAGTTTATATTTTAATCCGTATACTATTTATTTAATTAGGGGAATGACCATATATTAGACCCATTTATTTGTAATGTTAAGTTAGAGATACCAAGTCGCGTCTCGCTATTTTTAGTGGATGCTGTATTCGGTTACATAGCTAGATATGAAAGGCATTGTAACATTGAAAGCAATCTTATTTCTACATTGGTCGAGAGGTAGAGATTAGAGACACACACATTTCATCTTCTGTATAGGGAGTGTAAGATTATGTTGGAGGATGTTTCCTTACATCTGGGGCTGCCAGTAGGTAGGGATGTCATTTCGGGTGTGGTGGATGGTGATTGACATTTGTTGTGCGAGAAGTATCTTGGAGGTATCCCGATTAATTTCAATGTGGTTGAATACCGTTATCATGGTTGGCGATATATGTTGAACATTTGA